CGGGGGAGGTGCCACAAGCCCGCCTCAGCCCCGCCCCCCAAGCGCCGCGCGCACGCGAGCCGGACGCAACTGCCGCGCCGCACCGTGACTGCCCCCTCCGCCCCTCGGCGCCCTCCTCTCCCCTTGCCCCGCCCCCGGCCGAGCGTGCCCCGCCCTATGGCGCGTGCGCAGAACCTTCCTCCTCCTGCAGCCTGCGGAGGCGGGCTGGGGGCGGTGGCCGGGGGCGGAGAGGCTGAAGCAATGGCAGGGAAGCAAAGGGGAGGGAGGTGGGCTGCTGTGGTATTTAACGTGCAGGAATAACCTTCCGGTAACTCGTGTGATTGCCCACCACAGCAGGCGACCTGTGTCCGTGGAGACTACCCTAGCTCAGCTCTAGCCCTGGGGGAGGGATGCGTACCCAAAATCAGCAATTACAGTGCGGTGTGTGCGCGGGTGATGCGGGAAAGGGTGTATTGGAATACAGTCCTGGAGGGGCTAGCATTTGGGTGGGGCTGCGGCCAGAAAAGGACTCCCGGAGGGGAAACGCTTAAACCGAGTCTTAAGCAATCAGACTTTCCTAGAGAAATAAGAGTAAGCCCATTTCGAATTGAAATCTGGGCTTGTTTTGATTGTGGGACGTACGGCGAGGAGTGCAGGGAAGCCAGGGCTTGACGAGGTGAGTGGAAGGGAGAGGCAGGTCCTTTTTAGAGAAAGGCCCTGCTCTGGGCAGCCACACTGAGTCGCTTGCCTTTGATTCTGTTAAGATTAGGAAGCGATGGGAAGGGGATTGGGGCGATGGTTTTGGACCTCGGGGACAAAAGTTATGTTGAGCAGACTCTTCAGCTCCTAGGAGAGCTCTTTTTAATTTTATTTTGTTATTTTCCGCTCGTTCCCTCTCCACAGTCCCATTTCTCTACCCGCCATGCGCACCCTCTCTTGTATGTTAAGGTATGTCCCGGGACGTGTGTATGTCCTCCAAAGATAGTGCTAGTTTCTGTATTATTTTCTTAAAATACATGAAAGGTATTGTGCTAAGAACTCGTTCTGTTTCTTGTTTTTCCCTCAACATAATGTCTTAGAGATGTATTCATGGGGCTATCTATTTATTCTAGGTGTTCATTAGTCCTGACCGCTAATAGAATTCAGTTTGTGCATCTAACACATTTTACTGATCAATTCCTTAAAAAATGGATAGTTAGGTTGCCAGCAGTTCCTTGTAACCACAGACAATACTGGAATGATATTAGAAGTGTCCCTGATGGGCCATAAGAAAGAAAGGGAATTGCCCGGTCATGGAGTCTACAATGCTTGTTTTCACTCTGCCAAGTTGCCCTCTAGAGTGGCTTTGCCGGTTGGCACTCCCACCAGTGGTACATGAAGACAGAAAGATTCTTGTTTTCCCACTTCATATGCTAACATTTAGTATTATCTGACATCCTAATTTATATCAATCTGATAGCAAAGTAGTATCACATTGTAATTTCATTTAATTTTTTTCTTGATAGGTGACGTTACCCATTTTTCCATATACTGAAAAAACTTTGAGATTTTTTTTCTTTCTGTGAATTAACTATTTATATCCTCTGCCTATTTCTCGGCTAGATTTCCTATTATTTTTCCGAATGAATTAAAGGAGTTTCCTATATATTCTAAATATTAATCTCATGTGAGTCTTGGACAATGCAAGTATTTCTCCCAATCTTTCACATGCCCTGGTAGCTTGGCCTTTGCTATCCTACAGTGTAGGGGAAATCCTTATTTGGCTATATACAAATGCATCTAATTTTAGCCTTGTAGAGTGGGGTTTTGGGGTCTCCTTGAAGAATCTTTTCCTACCCAAATATTCTCCTACACCTTCCCCTGTTTAATAACTTCATACCTTTATCTATCAGAGTTAGTCTTAATTCATCTGCAGTTCACCTGGCATATGGCATAACCAAGAATACAGTATTATTTTCTCTGCATAGTGAGCCGATCTGTCCAGCAGTAGCCACCAAACAATCCATCTTTTCTCCACTGATGTGTGATGGCGTCTCTGTCCTGTACCAATTCTTAATAGACGCACGTCCCTGTTTGTGGGCTCTCACTATTGCTCTGTTGATCTGTATCTGTTCTGCACTGATTTTATCATTATGTCTTTGTTATATGTCCTACTATCTGGTAGCGTGAATCCTCCCCCACTCTGCTCTTTTTTAATTCAGTATTGCCTCTGAAGTTCAAAGCAAAAGTGGTCAGTGGTTACCCCGCGGCTAAAATCCAGGTATTCCGATCCCTGCTCCACATTAAGGAAAAAGGGGTGTGGGGGGAGCTTGGAGAGATCAGGATGGAGAAGAGGCAGAGACACAGGGGAGGTGGTTTTCCTTAGCAACACCTTGCAGCCTCCCTTTCCTGTCAGTTTCTGAAATTGTCCTCTTTTCCCCTTGGTTTGTAACTGATACTAAATCATATTTATAAATTTTACTGTTTCAGCTAAGAAGTATTATCTCATGTTTGGATTTTGTAACACCGTCATTTGAGGTTTGATGATATTCTTAAATGAAAAACTGATTGAAACACAGACCTAGCTTTGATGTTGGCTGCTACAGGGCAGGAGACGGATGAGGTCAGTTTGGTGACTAGACTTTGTAACTGCTGTAGTTACTGCCCTGTGGTAGAAATAGCCCACCCCGGCCTGGCTGCCAGGAAACGTTAGTCCCCGTCCCGGCGCTGCCAGTGACGTGCAACGGAACGAGTCTTGGAGCCCTGTTTTTCTTATCTGAATTGTTTTCTTATAACTTGTCTCAACGTGTCCTAGAAGCAGCCCTGTGAAGTACAGACAAGATGCACCCCTATTCCAATCTCATAGATAAAGAAATTGAGGCTCAGAGAGGTTACATGGCTTTAGGCATAAGCACACAGCTAAGAGAAGCTAGATTTATTCATGTCATCTATTCATTCAACAAAAGCCTGGTAGTTAAATGCATGGACTTCAGAGTCTAACTGCCTGGATTGGCTCTGGCCAAATGCCTAGAATCCTGGCTCTGCTACTTCCTACTGTGGGCAAGTTACTTCACCACTCTGTCCCCCACTTTACTCATCTCTAAGATCAGAATAACAGTAGGACTCAGCACAACGGCTTAAATGACTTCAATGAGATAATACGCACACAATGTTTAGAGGAATTCCCAGCACATAGCAAGCATTATCACCATCAGTGTTCCCTGTCCCTGGGCTCAGAAAATATTGAATACACCGTGTGCTGAAGCTGTTGATTCTTGTGGTTGAATCTGTTGAATCTGTGATTCTAGGATAATATTCTCCCAAAGAAGTCCAGGTCCTCATCGCTGGAAACTGTGACTATGTTACTTTACTTGGCAAAAGAGGCTTTGAAGATGTGCCTCATTTGAGGATCTTGAGATGGGGAGATTATCTTATGTATCTAATACATATTAGATGATCTGGGTAAACGCAGTGTAATCATAAGGGTCCTCATGAGCAAAAGAGGGAAGCAGGAAAGTCATCATCAGACCTTGAGAAAACTTGACCAGCCACTGCAAGCTTTGAAAACATACAGGAGCTGGGATACTGATGGAGAAGGACCACCTTGGAGTGATGTGAACAGGTTCACATCTTTGGGGGCTGCTCCACCCTTGATGTACTGGGGCATGGGTGGAGGTCAGGGAGGCTGAGGCAGTAAGGATGATTTCCACATTTTTGGCTTGTGCAGCTGGATGGATGGAGACATCACCCACCCAGTGCTCGCTCTGTGCCTTCTTCAGTGTCTGGGTAGGAAGCAGCTTCTGACGACCACCGCAGAACAGAGCTCCACCTGCAGCACCAAGCAGACTGGCCAATGTCTGCCCCCCAAGTCAGCAGCGGCTCCCTGTGGCTCCCTCCTCTTCAGCTTGGTTCTGGGCGAGCTACATGAGGTTCCTAGCAGGCCACGTCTGCCGCAATCTACCCAGAACCTGACATGATGGTTAGCACCCACTAAGGGCTCTGTTAATGTTGGTTGAGAGACAGAAAGAGGCAGGACGCAGGGAGGCTGGAACAGGGGCACTAAACCGGCATGGGAGGAGGTCAACCACTGTGGTCGAAGCCACCCTTATTTCTCACCTGGATAACAGAGCCCCGGCTTCTGCCCTTCTACTTTTGAAAGCCTCACCAACACAGCCAGAGTGATCGTATTAAGAGGAAAGTCAGACTCAGTCACCTCATGCTCTAAAACAGGGCTTTTCAACCTTCTTACTCCACGGGCCCTGGTAATTCTTTGTGGGGGAAGGGGAGAGAAATGCAGTCCTGTGCCCGGTAGGCTATTTAGCAACACCCCTGGCCTCTCCTCACTAGATGCCCATATCCTATCCTGACCTCTCCTCACCTACCCCCATCCAGGTGAAAATGGAAATGTCTTCAGACATTGCCAAAGGTCCACGGGGAGCAAAATGCTCTCCCCCACCCCCCACCACTGAGACCACTGCTCTAAACTCTGCGGTAACTCCCCAGCTGGCACAGAGGACGTCCTCCCACACACCTCACCTCTCCCACCTCATGCTCCCGTTTTCTCCCCCCCGCCCACTCTGCTCTCTCTAGGCCCACTGGCCTCCCTGTTATTCCTCGAACACTTGAGGTCTGATCCCAGTCAGAGCCATGGAACCTGCCCTTCCCTCTGCCTGGAATGTCCTTCCATTGGATGGTCAGCAAACTCCCTCTATCACATCCTTCAGGATATTACTCAAACATCACCTTCTCGAGGAGGCCAGCTCGGGATGCCTTTTATGAAATTAAAATCCCACAGTGTTAATCTGCTAGGGCAGCCATCACAAAATACCACGGATTCAGTGACTTAGACAACAACAGAAATGTACTGTCTCACAGTTCTGGAGGCTGGAATTCCAAGATCAAGGTGTAGGCAGGGTTGGTT